TGTTAGAGACATGATGTCCTTCACAGGCCTAATGAATCACATGTTCTTTGGATATGTTATTAGTCTCTCAGCTGAAGAACTATAGAGCCCTGTGCATCTGTATGGACATCAGACCAATATGGGATAGGAGCTTAGATGCTCTTTAAGGGATTCTGTCTTTCAGAAGTACTGATTTTTTCTATCTGACTATAGTGGTGTTCCAACTTAGGTGGTATACAGGTCGAACAATAGTAGAAATAGTGAACCACTGAACAAATTCCTTCTCAAATATTTCCATCACACTCTCAGACAGGGCACTAGATTCCTTTGGGTTGCTTCCAGTGTGAAAAGAATGCCTCAAATAGAATGGGAAAGTTCTTTGCAGCTGTAGGAGCCCTAAAACACCCGAGGCTGCAGACTTATCCCCCAAATTAGAGTAGAACACACTACTACATTAACAAGGCCCTACAAGCCCCACTGTAATTCTGTGGTGACAGCAGGACAGTGTAGTGCAATCTGATTGGACAGCCCTTTGGGACTCTGAATCTCACTCAGAGATGGTCACAGATACCAGAGATATTCCCTGATCTAAGGCCTCTGTAAAGTCAGAGACTTGCAGGGGATGGCACTGAAGCACCTTGCGACACTCTGCCATCAATGTGCACAGAGTTGAGCATGTGGTCAAAACGTTCTGAGTGAACACAGAGGTTCCAGGGGACAGGGCATGGAACTCAGCCCCATGCAACTGAATGGAGGAAGACAATCAAGAGGACACAATAACTTCACAGGATACCAAGTAAATGCTCCCTGAACCGCTAGGGTAGTAGCAGCTGGGGTCACCAGAATTGTCTCAAGTGTTTCTGTGAAAAATAGCGGTAATGCAACTAGGCCCAGAGTGCAAGACAAGGCCTCAGTTATTCAGACACCTAAGGCAGCTGAGGAAAAACAGCAAGATACTAGCAAAAAATTGAGATGTGCTGGATGGAAGGGGTGTGGAACTGGGAGTTGGCTTATGATTTTTCGGTTTTCCATGGCCTCTCCTGTAGGAGGCAGTAGTGACCCAATTGTATCAGAATTCATGTGTCCCTCAATGAACAGAACAAGAAAAAAATACAGTTTCACTTGCTCATTCATAAGACCTCCACATATGAAAACATGTTAAAGCTTATGTCTTAAAGACATTCATTGGAAAAAACATTTTGAGTTTTACAAGATGTCATTGTATGATTTGACAGAAGAAATATACTTAACACCTGGAACTCTAAATAAATCAAATCTTTTTTTCTTGTGATTAAAAAAAACACCAAAAGCGAGATCTAACCATGCCCACTACCATCCATCTTCACTTTACGTGCCATTAAAGAGTTGATTGAAAAACGCACAGAATATTTTGTGTGTTTCTTAAGTAGATTTATAATCCCTTCATTAATTAAAATGTCTAAAATAATATTTCACAGGAACAAACAATAGACATTATAAATGTATAATTTTTTCATAAAAGGTGAGTACAGAAATAATTTTTCTCTAACGTTCATTGAATGGAACTGTCAAAAAATACACAGGAAATCACATAAAGCTTTTTTTTTTAACTAATAAAAGACATTCTGTGTTGAATTAAAACCATCTTTCTTTACTTTCCAAACCTGAATGCAGGCCAGCAATACAGTGAATGAAATACCAGATATCAACAGCACCGTGACCGATTCTAGCATGATCTGCAGAGCTCCAGATCAATAAATCTGCTAACGATAGAAGTGCTTGCTTTTGCTTGCATAGATTTTCAACCTGATTGTTTCTTTGTTTTCCAAAGAAAAGGGGAAGAATTGCTGTAGCAGGTATAACCAGCTAAGTAAGGCAGGCAGAAGTGGAACTCCCTCACCAAGTGCCATTATCAGTAGTAGGATGCCACTGCACAGCTACATAAAGGGAGATGCGATAAACACAATCACAAATGCCAGCATAATACATTGATAAGGGTAAAATAAATGAGTCATTCATTTCCTGATAAAAAGGTTAGGATTTAAACTTCACAGAAATTTCATAGCAGGTTTGAAGAACTGTAATGATGTTGTCATCCCTGTAAATGTAATTTTTTTTTTATATAGACACTTCAGCCAGCAATTCCTTTACAATAAAGCGGTGTTCCGGGCACAGACAGAGAAGAGGCATCTCTCTTTGTCACAGGGAAAGATAGTACATGCACCCTCAGTTTGCTGACAGTAGATTTAGGGTTTAGGGGGTTAAAGTGGAACAAAGCTCAAAAATAAAAGAATTTGATAGCAGGGTTTATTGGTCTTTTCTGCCAAAAACAGATTTTCCTGTCTGCTATAAATTTTCTTTGTATACCCTGCTTGTGGCATTGTATGTTGTACACTCCTGGTCCATTATGCTGTGCTTGCCTGCACATTATGTCAACAGCTTTGGGGAACCACAGTTAATTTTTTTTTTTTTTTATTCTTTCTTTATGTCAGACAGGTCATGTCCAGTCATGGCAAGTTACAGATAATAAAGTTTCAACAAA